TTAGCTTCTTCCTCTGGATGAGGATGACTAATAAAATTACTCTTTTTTACTCTAATTTGGTTAATATCCTGCCGTATTTCTTTGATATTTTTACTCTCCCCAATGTTCTGTGCAAAGTCTTGCCAATATTTCTCCCTTGCCTCCTTCCTTGCCTGCCCACATATTTTGGCTATACCATGAAGATTTCTCTATCTTCTTCTCTTCTACCAATCTTTATTCACTCTTTATGTGCTGCCCTTAACATCTGTGTCCATCCCTTCAACATTTTGGTATTAGTATAGCGGTGTTTTCTAGCCCCATTTCTCTTATCATTTATCTTTGTCTGTGTTGACTTAGTTAAATATCTTTCTATCTCCCCAACTAAATCATTATAAAAGCTATCCGTACAGACTGGTGTATAATTTCTGTACCATTTTCCTATCTTTTGGGTAAACACTTCTGTGTCATTCTTGCTTAGCTTCAACCTCTTCCTCCTATATCTCACCTGTCTCCTCCCTAATGGTAATTGAACATACACTACATCACTGACTAGCTCCCCTATTATCTCACATTCTCCCTGGACTCCCTGACTGTTTATCATGCAAGCATAATCTAACCTTTCTCCTTTAATATGAGTGACTTCCTTATTTCCTAGCAAGTAAGCATCTGGGTGATTTTGTAAAAATTGCAAAAGTTTTATACCGCTACTATTAACTCTCCCCATTGCTTCCAGTCTTGGATGTCGAGCATTAAAATCTCCTACAGCCAAAGTTGAGTAAAAAAACATGTAATCTGGTAAGGAGTTGAGGTCAAAACAGCCTCCAGAAATATACAAATTTTCTATGTTCAATTCTCCTTCCTTCAAATATATCTTTATACAGACACTTTCTATTCCTTGTACTCTACTCGGGCTTCCAACTAGCTCTGCTGGTATGGAATTCTTAATGTATGTTGAAACCCCTCTTATGCCTTCACCCGAATAGAGATGAAATCCCTTATATCCAGACAGTTTAAGCTGGTCGCCTTTCCTGTCCCCAGTCTACTGAAGGTTAATTATGTCAATTTTATTTTTAGGGGTAAAGTAATGTACTTCTGTCACTATCTCGTAGACCATTAACATTCCAGGACATTATCTTAAGCCTAGCTAGATCCATTATTAATATTTACACATTTTATATCCTTTCCAATCAAATTCTTTAAGAAGGCCCAATCCTCCTGCACAGTTTCCCCATTTCCTCAAAAATTTTTCTTTATCAGCATCTTTACACTTTACCAACACCTTTTTAAAACTTTAAGTTGTTACTCCCTGCACTACACAATCCTTTATTTTCCTCTCCTTCCCTTTAATATTTATTTTAATCAATGAAGTTTTCAAAACCTTGGACTCTTCACTTCCCTCTTCCTTTCTAATTCTACATAATTCTCAGCTTTACTTTTCCTTTTCTTTATTTATCACTGTATCAAGTCTTTTCTCAATCATTTCTATTTTCTGTCCTAAATTTTGCAAAAGCTGAAACATCTTACGCACCTCTTCTCCCAGAAATTCTTGCACAGTTTTATCACTAACCTGGAGGGCTGCACCACAACTTTCACCAGCTACTTGTTTATTACTGTTTTTTCCTGGCATCAACAACTCTTCCAGCTACAAGCGCTGTCCTTATCCTTCTTGAATCTTTATGTCAGGCATTCCTAGGGATCACTGTCTCCACTGTCTGTGTGTTCTCCTGCTGGCTTGTCACTGGCATACCACTGCGTACTTCTTCAGTGTTTTCTGAACAATTCTTTTTTTGGTCATTTCTCAGACTTAACCTCATCTCACATGCAATTAAACTAGCTTTTTGAGTTTTACCACAATTACAACAACAAGACATCACTTTCTCTCCTGCTTTGATCTTGTCCTTACTGTTGCTAGATTCGTGCCTTTTCCCACAGAATCTACAACGTGGGTCCAGTTGACAGCTCCAGGCCTTGTGTTCCCATCTGCAACGCTTGAGACACATTATTGGTTCCTCCACATATAGTGCCACCTTCCTGTACCCTGCTCCCATGATGAACACTTTGCGTGGAACCATTCCTCTCATTAGGGTAATAACCTGTCTTCTCTCTTCACCTCTTATTAAATGCCTCTTAACCCAAACAAATCTCTCGTCATCCAATAAGAATTCTGGATCCAGTATTACAGGGTACCTGAAGATTATAACCTTTGTAAGTATGTCTCTCTCCTCCTGCAAAACCGTCAATAATCCCTTATACCAAAAGTCGTCAACATTTCCACAGCCTCCATGGTCCCCACTGTCTGTTCCTTCTTTCAAAAGAGGCTCAAAGCTGCGATGCTCCCTTCCTAGTTGGACTGCCCATTTTAATTTTTCAAGGCAGGTCATTGTGCATGACTGTGGAAAAATCAATCTCTTCCTGACACGACCAACTTCACCTTGTGTGTGTTCTTGTCTACTTCCTTCAACTTCCATACTTTGCTCTGTTCTTGAGCCAGCTTCCACTATCTCCTTTCTGTTATTTCCATTATTATTACCGTTCCAACACATTTATTGTCCTAGATTTTTTGTCTCTTCCCCTCTCTCTCTTCTTCGCTTTCACTTGCCTCCTCTTGCCAGCTTGTCTCCCTCATCCTTTTAGGAATTCCTCTCTTGTTCACTACCTCTTGTTGTAGCTGTATTTCCTCACTTTGTAACTTCCCTTGTGTTTCATCATTCGCATTAGACTCATCACTACTCAACTCCAGGTCTTCAAGAACTTTGTCAAATACTTTCTTCTCTTTACTCTTCCATGCAAATTTATTAAGCAATAATTCACTTTCCATGAGGCAATATTGACATCCCACAACACCCAGCCAGGAGTGATGGGAACCCGAGCAGTTATTTTCGTGTGGTAAACAGTAAGTTCCCAACACCGAAGTTGCTTGATGGTACTTATCTTATCCTTAGGTCCTTATACACATGTCCAAAGGGGTGCCACCAGACTAGTGCCTGCACTACGGCATCTCAATTACCCAGAGAGATTAGAACGTCTGCAACTACACAGCTTATACTATAGACGGCCAAGGGGTGACCTATTTGAAGTTTATAAACATCTCAGACGGCACTACTCAGTCGAGTATCCATACCTGGAGCTGGCGGACGCCCGCCCCACATGGGGTCACAGGCCAAGGGTGAAGAAGTCACAAATCTAGAAAATGGTGAGGACAAACTTTTTCGGCGTGGCAATCTGCCAGACAGTATTGTGACGGCACCGAGTGTAAACTCTTTAAATAATAGACTTGACCAACAGTGACACAGGTACAGATACATTCATAAGCCAGTACATGCCCAATACTTGCCAACAGTACGTAACAGAGACGTGACCAACCGCCCAAGTGGCTAACAAGCCGATCGGTGGCTAAGAGGATAATAGCAAAAAAGTACAGTACCTATAACTGTGTGATCTCCAGATAATGATGCGGTCATTCTTCTGCTGAAGTTTGCACATAACATCAGACTGAGAGTTGTGTTTGACACTGAGTCGGCAACAAAAGACTCATAGACATATAAAGCGTAATCCAGGATGTGGGGAAAGAGATCTGCCAAGTTCTTCCTGTAGTACATGCATTCAGTGGTTGTGATACCATGAGTGCGTTTGTCAGAAAGGAATAATTACAACTATGAAGATTCTCAGGCAACATCTCAAATTTCTTGACACATTGGCACAATTTGGGAACTCTTAAGAAATTCCTGACATTGTGTTTGCTGGACTTGAGCACTTTACGTGCCTCCTCTATGGAGGATTATCAACAAAGGGTACCAGGCACATGGACTATCAGACTCGGTTGCCATGCCCAGGGAAGGAAGTCAGTACGCGACCTGTTTAGGATCCCTCAAGTGTTCCTGATAATTTTGTCTAATTCTATTTGGAAGACAAGTACTGTTCTCGATTCCACTTACATTTTACCTAAGTGACTTAATGGCCACCTAGAAATAGAGGTGTCCATGTCGAGGAAAGAAGGCCAGTGGCCTGTAAATGATCCCCCCCATTGTTCACGATAGTCTCGATTCCACAGCTTGAGCTGGTCTACCACCTTCTGCGTGAAGAAGTATTTCCTGCATGACACCTCATTTTCGTGGTGCATGCCATCACGTTGTCAATCCTTTTTAAGATTTTGAATATCTATATGAGATTGTATCTTGCCTGAAGAGTTGTCAGTACATAGTGACTATATTCATACTGGATAGCTCTGTCATTTATGACCAACTGGTCTTCCAACAGGTCCAATGAGGGCCATCCACCATGGGATCAGTGTTAGAGGCAGGAAGAAACTGGGTTGGAGTACCTTGAAAAACCTCCCATGTTTGGTTAGGACACTCTAGGGCCTAGGGCCTAGGCCCTAGGCGATGAGACTTCTGCAGCAGAGGTAGTGTGTAGTTTCCGTGTCAACTTAACGACATTCTCAGTCCGGATTCTAAGGGTAGAGAGAACTCACCTGATCAAGGTAGAGTCTCAGTTAACTTTGACACCATCGAGGCCGTCATGCTTTTATCTGAAGAAATTCAGTTAGATGCTTTTTCACATCACTAATCGTTCAGGGAAATAGCTCACGTACGATTATTAGACAAAAAATGTGGGTCGGAGTTAAACTGGTCCTGTATTTCGAGTTGATCAAGTTTTCAGATGGGATTGACAGCACAACGAGTATTGAAAATAACATTAAGAGTGTCCTGCAGATAAGGTAGGTTCTCTGCTTATAAATTAATGACATGGCAAAAAAAATATCCTGACCAATGACTGATCCGCGTTACTTTCTCCTGCGGTTAAGCTCCGCCCATCACTGTTCTGTTGTCGTGCTAAGTTCTCTTCTTAACATATCCAGACTCTCACTCAAAACAAAATATTATATAACAGAAGCAGCAGACTGGTCGTATATCGTATTTATCGGGCAGTGTCAGAATATAGAAGTCATAATGTAAACTGGAAACCGGCATAATGGAAGAATAATAGTAACACCGCGAAGGGCAAGAAGGAAAAATAGTGACGGCAGTTTGCAAGGTTCTCCGATACGAGAGGTTTCCACGGAGAGGCGACTCGTGTCAGTGTGAAGATGTGGTCCATTGTGGTAGTACCGTTCGTCTTGGTGGTCACTGGTATGTATAAGTTATTATGTTGGCCGAGTTCACTTGCAAAGTCGAAGAATCAGACCCCTATGCGTCCTTCTGGTAGTCAGCGGTCTACTGGGTAACCTCAAAGTTGTCTAACATAATGTAGCCTACACCCAAAAGTTCCGTGTGAAAACTATTCTATTTTAGTGAGTGAGGTCGGCTGTAATACTTGTTTTTAAGATGTAATTTAATTTTCATGTATACTTACTAAATGTTACTTAGAGACACACATTAATTTGAATGTCATCGACCTAAACTTACATTTAACCATTGTAGTTGTGATGTCACTGAGTACCGAAAAAAAAATTTTTCTGTCATTTACTGTAAGGTCGTTTTCCACATAACCGTTGTTTAGCTGTTCACCCGACCGTGGTGAGATTATAATTACTGATAAAAGTGGAAGAATATTAACAAAGGAAGATTATAATTTCTCTTTATTCGTATGATATTGTGTTGTCGTTATTTTTTTAATAGTTTGCTCATTCTTGTTTACATAATTTTCAGACAGTTGGAATTATACAAGTTTCCAGTGTAGTGACAGTTTCATAATGTGGTGATTAGGCAAATCTTATGATGTCTTTTATAACAGTTAAGGAGACAAATGGTAAAAGGTGTGACACTTAAGAACAATAGACAATTTAGATGATAAAGTTTGAATCCAATGTGATGAAGTAATCATTAGTTTCACCATGACACTTAAAAAAAAAACATTCTACTGATCAATATTTTTATCCTAATCTTTTTAGCTTATCTCACTGGTATTAACACACACACACACAAGGCCCACGTGACACACACCCTGGGTTGACTCGTAATTCCTTGTTGTACCATTGTTGTACTACAGAAACGTAGCTTGAGTATAGGTCATGTTATCAGGGCACACACCCTCATGTGTAACCTCTCATTGTTAGTCACAATGAGTGTACAAGTTTACAGGTTTTTCTCAAAATCTTTGTGTCTTGTTAGTAAAGACGTGTTTTTCGTGTATATCATCTACGTCTCTATCTGTATTCCTATTACTGTGGTCTACTGTGACTCACATCTCACTCAATACAGACGGGAGCAGGTCTATTACGTCTGGGACCCATTAAACCGCTCACCTTATGGATATGTAAAATAAGATTAAATTTTGCTGATCATAAGCAACGTGTTTATTTACATATTCAATAATTACTTACGATCTCATTTTCATGTTGCACTTGTGACGTCACTCGACTCCGAGTGTTGCATTAATAACTTCTTGAGGGCTAAAAGTGCCACGATCCTCACCAGCTGTTTCAGTTTCTATCAGCTGTGACGTCACTATCGGTAAAAACTATTATTCGAACGACAAGAAATTCCATTGGGATTTTATACACGAAATTTTCACGCAGTTCGTGCTAATTTGATAAAAGTATTTCAATAAGGCTGAGAAAAGATTATCGAGTGAAAATCTGTCAATGCCTCGCTTATTGTGGCGTTTGGGATGTAATGAGCGAATTACGTCATCATTATACGAACATAAGAACATAAGAATGGAGGAAACTGCAGCGGGCCTATTGGCCCATACTGGGCAGTCCCGTTTACACCCAACCCCTATTGTTCATATGAGCATCCAACCTATGTTTGAAGCTATCCAGCGTATTCGAGTTAATGATGATATTTGGTAACTTGTTCCATTCATCCACTACTCTGTTTCCAAACCAGTGTTTACCTATTTCACGCCTAAATCTAAATTTGTCTAATTTAAAACCATTGTTACGAGTTCGCTCCTGGTTGGATAATTTGAGTACCTTTGTAATGTCCCCTTTGTTTAGCCCTGCCTTCCACTTATACACCTCTATCAGGTCGCCCCTCGCTCTACGTCTCTCGAGGGAGTGCAAATTAAGATGCTTTAACCTGTCTCTATACTCAAGGTTCCTAATGCCCGGGATTAGTCTTGTCATTCTCCTCTGAATTCTTTCCAAGGATTCTATATCCATTCTGTAATACGGTGACCAGAACTGAACTGAACTGTGTAATCCAGGTGTGGTCTCACAAGAGCAAGATACAGTTTTAGGATGACCTCGCTAGTCTTGTAACTAACACTCCTTTGTATGAACCCAAGTACTTTATTAGCCTTGTTACGAGCAAAAACACATTGTTTACTTGGCTTAAGGTTCCTACTTATCATTACTCCTAAATCTCTCTCGCAGTCGGATTTCTCTATGGCATCGTTGTTCATCTGGTATCTGGTTTCCCTGTTTACATCTCCTATACTGAGTACTTTACATTTGTCGACATTGAATTTCATCTGCCATTTTTCAGACCATTGGAAAAATTTGTTTAGATCTTCCTGTAGTTTTGCGAGTCCTCGTCAGATTTGATAACACGTCCTATTTTAGTGTCATCAGCAAATTTACTTATGTTGCTGTCTATGCCGATATCTATGTCGTTTATGTATATAATAAACAATAATGGTCCAAGTACTGAGCCTTGGGGAACTCCACTTGTGACGTTGCTCCAATGGGACTTAGTGCCGTTAATGCTCACTCGCTGTTTCCTGTCCTGTAACCACGCCCTAATCCATTTAAGGATGTCACCTTTGATGCCATGAGCTTCTACCTTTCTAATTAGTCTTTCGTGGGGGACTCTGTCGAAGGCTTTGCTAAAGTCGAGATATACCACATCATAATTGTGCCCCTCGTCCACTGATTCGAAAACTGATGAAAAGAATGTTAATAGATTAGTTAGGCAAGAACGTCCGCTTGTGAAGCCATGCTGGGAATCATTGATCAATCCGTGCTTCTCCAGGTGATTTCGAATAGAGTTTGAAATGATTGCTTCCAGTAATTTGCCTACTATTGATGTTAGACTGATTGGGCGGTAGTTAGAGGATAGTAATCTATCCCCCTTCTTGAAAATCGGTATTACATTCGCTATCCTCCAGGATTCTGGTACTACACCTGTTTTTAAGGACATGTTAAACAACTTTGCTAAGGGCATACTAAGCTCTTCCTTACATTCCTTTAATACTCTGGCAAATATCTCATCGGGACCAGGTGACTTATTAGGCTTTAGTTTGTCTACTTGCTTACTAACATCGTTACTAGTCACTACTATCTCACTTAATTTGTTTTCTTCACTATCTCTGAATAGAGTCGGTGCCTCGGGTATCATGTTTAAATTTTCGGTGGTGAAAACTGTTTGTCTCACCGGGTACGCTCTTTACCTCCTCTGCTGGCTATTTTTTTTTTCGACACAGGAGAAATCTATCGGATTCTTTGGTGCGTAGAGGAGAGAAAGTGACGTGTGGTGTGTGTGTGGTGTGTGTGTGGTGTGTGAAAGCATGACCATGCAACGGGGCTTGGAGAATATTCTTTACTCACAGTATATCGTATGACTGACGTCACGAGAATTATAGTATTTTACTTCATTGATGATGTCAATACACACACACACACACACACACACACACACACACACACACACACACACACACACTTTACTCAGGTTGTTGATGGAAGTAATGTGTTCCGCAACATGAGATACTAAAAAAAAAATTGCAACAAATATCTATATTCTAATTGTTCATTAGAGATATTAGGTATGAAAAAAATGAAACATACAATTTGTATTTCTCCCATATAAGTATTCAGTGAAATGTTCCGACTTATATTGTGACCCGAATATCTTCCACTAGCACGGAGTTGGTCCCTTATATGTTGTGAATGACCTGTTGTAGTTATAAATGGACTAAGTCACAACAAAACAATGTTGTATAATAATACAAACATCTCATACTGCAACGGGTGAGGACAATTATAGATCAAATTGGTCTCCGTACTAACAGGTTTCAACTAAATCCGACCATTAGGACTAAGGTCCACTGGTACTGGACCTCACTACTGATGACTGTTTTTGGCTGAGTTAGGACTTATTAGGACTGGCACCCACTCGACCAGTCATTGTCGTGGTAGAAATTACAGTAAGATTTTCTTACGCCAGTCCTATGCTCGTAACCTCATTCTGGACACCACTAAAGTGACATGTTGCAAATTGCAACTCACCCCGACTCATTTCTGCCTCAGGCTGCAAGACTGAAGGCAATGGTTATCTCAATGACAAAAACAAAAATAATAATTTTATCTACTAAGCAAAAACAAAGAGGCGACTTTTAAGGCGTTATAAACAAACCAGCGGACCCCCACACCACCTCAGGGTACTACACGGAATACAATATTTATTCTCAACAACAAAGACATGAAATAAGTGACTATTACGCAACAAGGAGACACAAGGTTATGCCTAACGGTAATTGGAAAAGCGAAAATATATTTACTTTTTATCTCACTCTTTCACATTCACTCTCTTCCTCTCTTTCACACTCACTCTTTTCCTCTTTCACACTCACTCTCTTTCTCTCTTTCACACTCACTCTCTTCCTCTCTTTCACACTCACTCTCTTCCTCTCGTTCACATTCACTCTCTTCCTCTCGTTCACATTCACTCTCTTCCTCTCTTTCACACTCACTCTCTTTCTCTCTTTCACATTCACTCTCTTCCTCTCGTTCACATTCACTCTCTTCCTCTCTTTCACACTCACTCTCTTCCTCTCGTTCACACTCACTCTTCCCTCTTTTAAACTTTCGTTCTGTTTCATATTCGTTTGTCTTTTCTTTTCTTGGTCCATACGTTCACTGTGTTATAGGCCTTTTCTCTTTGTCAAAATTCTATTGATTGCTTTCATTTGTTTTAACCTCTCTCTCTCTCTCTCTCTCCTCTCTCTCTCTCTCTCTCTCTCTCTCTCTTTTCACCTCATCGCCATATAATTCTTCAGGTCCATCTTTACTCCTTGCCCTTTCTCTGGCTCACTTTTGCTCTCAGCCGCGTCGCTACCAGGACCCGCTAGCCTGACCTTCTACCGTCCTCAGTTACAGGTGGCTCGGCAGGTACAACATTCACTTCCCAAAACCTGTTTCTGGCTTCGAACACTCGCTGGAAGCCTTCGATTAGGAGGGGATGGT